AGCGATATTGAGTGGTACTTGAATTATTGTTTGCTCAGGCAATCGAGGAGATCTCCAAGAGGAACTCGGAGCGGACGCCTAAAACGCTTGTTTGAAACCTATTGCGCTTGTTTGACTAGGAGAGTGTTCCATATAGGAATACGTAATGGAATAAGTCTAAGACATGCTCATTTCATGATTTCTAAGTGTTAAGTACTATGTGTTAAATATTTACCATACCCATGCTTGAAAATGCCCGAATAACATGACTTGGTATGCTATGGTTGCATACGTCGTTGGAGTGAATCTCCTCGACTCTCACATGGTAAAAATGGGATAACGGCCAATGATGGCCTATTAATATGGCAAATGCCTGCCAAATAACCGTCATTACTCAACCGTTAACCGTCAACCGTTAACCGTCAACCGTTTACCAACCCACATGACTACCTGATTACTTGACTATTTGCTCACATGATTTCTAATCTATATGATTATTTGATATCCGTAAATTACATGCTCCCATGAAATCAACTTGTATTGCTTACGTGCTTACGTGCTAAGTATCCACTTGATTACTTGATTATCATGAATCACATGTTATATGAAGTTGTCCATCATTGTTAGGCGAGTGTGTACTTTACCTCACTCGACCTATTCAAATGATGAAGTTTACTTTTTGTCGAATTACTTGGTTACCTGTGCATGTTGTAAGCTATAAGCTGAACTTGGGCCCTGCCTCGGTTACTGACCTACTCGAGCCAGGACTGGGCTCGGTCGGGTAGGTTGGAACCCTGGACAACCGTTTCGGTATACTCGAGTACTACCACTGGAGGGATAAGGTGATGGCCAGTCAATTGAAGGAGTTACTGATCGGAGTTATAAGGACGGGAAGTGGACCGAGTACTGTATCCTTTTGTGCTTGCTTTGCTATTAATAATGTTATTGCTCTCCTAGTTGACATTTCTCGGGTAAGACTCCTCATGAGCATTAATCTCTGAGATGAAGCAATCCTTGTAATGTTCTTCTAGTCAGACGAGCCACTATTTGTTTGACTAAAAATTCATGAAAATATATTTATATGGTCATTCATTCCAAAAATACGTTAGTGATTTTAGATAATTTATGAGTTCTACTCATAGTAAAGTTACCAGCAAAAGTACTACTACTACATGTGTTTTCAAAGTAGCAATTACCCGAGAAATGATTATCACCTCATGATAACCTGCCATTGTGTAACCTCGCACCATGCATATGACATGCACAACTTTCTTGATTTGTTTGAACTGTTAGAGTGTCTTGGAACCTCACTGGGCTGTGTAGCTCATTCCACGTTGTGATTTTCTTTTACAGGATTTGAGACCAAAGGTGCTCGGAAGTAGTACTAGATTGTTTACTTTTATGAATGTAATTCGAGTTAAACATTGTAGTTTTGCCTTAGGTTGCCACTTGAAGCTGGAAAAGTGTAAACCCTGGATTTGTATGTGACTTGTATGAATTTGCTACTTGGCTTGTAAGGATGTATTTGAATTGATGTTTTGTTTCTTGGGTTGTATTCGGGAAGGTATTTTAAGAATCGACGTTGGCTATCTTAAGGCACTGTTATCTCTGAAGTTAATGTGATTCTAGAAACCGGCTTATTTGGAGGGAAACGATGTTGTAATAGATTAGGTTATACTTCGGAAGGATTTTTGCTAGCTTGCTTGCGTGAGTCCTGGCAAGAGCTAGACAGACGGCCCGCCAACCCTCTGGTTCGCCTTAGGGGAAAGTGGGCTCGCCACAAGTGGTATCAGAGCTTAGGCTCTAGATTCTTGTAGTGTATCTTAGGCTTTAAGCATAAGATGCCGGACTGTGGAGTTTGATTGTTTAGTAAGTGGAATGTGATCTTAATACTTGATGATTGATTGAGTAATATTGAAGTGTTTGTTTTTAAGTGGGTTTACACACTAGGGTTTCTTATATTGTAAGAAACTGAAGAGAATTGATTTGAAAAGTGATAGTTGAGTTTCTTGAATATTGGTACTAGCTGATATCTATAAGATCGAATTTGACTGGGTAAATTGTAAGATTCGAGGTATCCTCTAGGCTTGTAATCTTCGTAAGTATATGTATGAAATTGAATGTGAATCTTAGATCGATTGCTTGATTGAGACATTTTGTGAAATTTTCTTTGAGGAATGGTGGCGATTGAGTTGATTTGCATCTGGAGATGGCCAGTCCTAGTGCGAATTGACTTGGTTCCCACTTGACGCTTAAGTGAGCCAGTTGTACATATTCGCTGAGTTTGAAAATGGTACTTGAGGCTTTAACTAGAAATTCCAAGGTTGGTTATTCTTGGAGATGAATGCACTTTAGTTATTGGCTGGCTTGCTAAAGATTTTTAAACTTTGGATAAATGACCTTTGATTTCAACTTGTATTATGACTTGATTAGCTCTAATTTTGTAATGGCATGCAACCTAATTGAGACTAGTTTAAATTCTATGTTAACTGTTAATGTGCTATTTGTGAAAATGTCATCTGTGGATATAGTTTTATTGCTCATTTTGAAAATTGTTAAATATACGTGTGCATAGATAATTTTTAGTTTAGTGAGCCATTTGCACATATTTGTATAGATTAGTTGTGAGAATGGAAGCTGGGAGACGACGAAAGGGACGTCAACCTAGACAACCCCGAAATGAAAGAGTAGATAATGGATCTGATATTGACCAAAATGCCGAGCCCAGTGCTGGGAGAGGAAATGACCAAATGGGACAAGTTCTAAACTGCATGACGGATATACTAGAGCTCTTAGTAGCTCAACAAGGTCAAGGTGTTGGACAAGGAAACCAAGAAATAGGGGAGGATCGAGCTTTAGAGCGGTTTCAGAAATTCTTCCCACCTAAGTTTGCTGGAGGACCTGATCCAGAGGTGGCTGAGAATTGGTTAGAAAATATAAGAAATATATTTGATGCACTAGATTATTCCGAGGAGAGAGAAATAAATTTTGCTGTGTTCCAACTTGAAGGGCCGGTTCGAGCATGGTGGAATGTTATAAGAAATAAGTGGGAAAGGGAACAAACTCCGAGAACTTGGATGAACTTTGTCCTAGAATTTAATGGAAAATTTCTTCCACCACTAGTCCAAGAAAAGAGAGAAGATGATTTCATAAAGCTTCGTCAAGGAACTTTAAGTGTAGCTGAGTATGAAACACGCTTTACGAAGTTATCTACATATGCCCCAGAATTGGTGGCTACTGATAGGAAGAGAATATGACGGTTTATCCAAGGATTAGATTTGGAAATCCAAGATGCTCTTGCCGCAGCACAGGTTGAAACATTTAGTGACGCTCTCGAAAAAGCGCAAAGGGTAGAAATCACAAAATCTCAACTGAGAGCTTTTCAAGTAAGGAAAAGAGACGCATCTGACAGTACACTAGGAGAAAATGGACCACCACCCAAAGTTAGAAAAGAAGTGGATGGAGTAGGACTGTTACTTCCTGCACCACTCAGGATAAAGGAACCAAAAGGAACTGTGTCGCGAGAGACTTCAGTAGGACAAACACGATCAAAGAAAACCTCACAAACAAGTCAGGTCACAACCCCTCGTCCAATTTGTGGATATTGTGGAAGGACGAATCACACTGAAGAAAACTGTTGGCTAAAGGGACGAAAGTGTATGGGATGTGGGAGTACTAGCCAAAAAGTTCATGACTGTCCAAGGAGGTATCCACGAGAAACCACTGCTCAACAGGGAAATGGAACTGTCCCTCGACAAGTCAATGGAAGGAGGAACCGACCAGTGGCGTCTGAACGAACATATGACATGATCACACCACATGGTTCAGGGTTATCCGAGATTTCAGAAGGTATGAATTTCGAGAATGAAATTCTCATTAAGGAGGGTAGGTTGTGAGGACCCGAAAATTTTGCTTCTTTTATTTATTTTACTGGTTAAAATAAGTATTTACTCACCCGATTTCTCTGAGTATTATTTTCTAAGCTTTTTAGGTTTAATTAAACGTATCCATAGTTTAGTTATATTTTTAAAGCAATTCGTTTCGAAATTTAATTTCTGTAAGCTCGTTAAGTGAAAATAGTAAATACGCGATTGGAGTATATAATCGATTCAAGAAATTACATATAACGAATAAGTGGTTAAATTTCCTAGTTTTGTTACATTAAATTCATATTTCGAAGGTAAATTATTTCATTGATTTAACAATTAAATTTCTTTGAATTCCGATAGCTAATCTTAAGCGTTAATAATGATTAAGTTAATAAGTTTTGATATAAAAGGATAAACGACTATTAAGAATGTTAAATTTATATATTAAGGTCAAACTTGATTTTTATAGTTTAAATAATTAGGTAATAATGTTAGGAATTACTAGGAACCTTAATATTAAATTGTAATCGATAAATTTCGATAATCGAAACCCTCGCGAGATTAGTACACTATTAGGAGTTTAAATCACGCATGGGGATAATTCGTGAGATTATGCTCGAATCAAGGGCTTAAGTGGTCATTAGAAGGAAAAGTGAAAAGTCCAAAATACCCTCCACTACCTCACAAATTACCATGCAAACCCATCAAAATTTCTGGACAACATTGTAACTCCACCACCCTAACCGGCCAATGCAAAACTTTTACCACTCCTACACTCAACCCCTTCTCAAAACCGCGGCACCACCTTTCTCCCTCCTCATTTCTATACCACAAACCACTACCGCAACTCCATTCCACCTCCTCTGCAACAATTCACCTCAGACCACACTCCACCTTCACCTCGTTAACATCGACTGAGATAGAGAGGGAGAGACTGAGCCGCATTCTGCCATCCGAGAGAAAAGAAAGGAAGCGTGCGAGCTGCGAGTCTTCTGTTCTGTCCATGAGCTTGAGGGAAGAGACAGTGCGTGAGCTGCATTCTCCACCTCCACTTCAACCAGTTGCAATCCATCTCCAACCACAACACCACCACACCTGCAACCACCGGCAACCAAGACAGCAACCAATCATCCATCGCGTGCGTGAGATAGCCGTGAGGAGAGTAAGACAACTTCAGCTTCTGCCGCGTGAGTAAGCTTCCAGTAGAGGTAATCTCTGGGCTGAAACCAATAGATTATAGGTAGATTAAGCTGTTTATGGACTTGCATGTGAGGTTGGAGTGTCCGGATGAGGAAATCAAAGAAAAGGAAAATCTGATTTTTGATGGAAATAGTTTTGCCGAGAAGCCGAAACAGAAATGCAGCTTTAATCTTGTTTCTTTGGAATAATCTGAGCTTTTAAATGTTGTTAACTAACTAAGAACTAGGTGATTAAGTCTTGCCTGAAGTTAGTTAGTTCGGATTAAGCTAGAAAAGAAGAGATGAAACAGAATCGGCTTGCCTGCAAGCTCATCCGAGAGTGGCCGAACAACTTGCTGGTTGATTGATGAATTTTTGGTAACAACCGAGCTGAATCTGGACTGGAAATGCTAGCTAATTAGTTCAGTAGTTGTGCATGTCAGATTTAAGTGCCAAATACAAGGTTTTAACCGAAGGAAAATTTTGTTTATGACTGAGTAAATGCTGGAAAATTTACGTGACTTGCCAAAGGAGTGAAACCAGAATTTGCAGTTGTTTCTGGAATTTTTTTTTTCATTAGCAAACAATGTTTAGAAATGCATGAAATATATGTGTCTTAAGTCTTGTAAGATATTCAGTTGTAAAGTACTTGATTCGTTGGATAAATTGACCAAAAATGTTGAAACATAGCTGCTGCAAATTTTTTTCCAGCTTAGCCGATGGTGGCTCTTTTGAGTTTTAATGGAAATTTGGTGAGTGGGCTCTATGAATTCCCACAATGACTTGGATGATCTGATTAGCTAGTCAAGTATTTGCTTGTCGGATTTGAGTACTTAATATCATGTATTAGCCGAGTAAAAAGTTGGATTTATGACCAATTAGCTGCTGGAAATTCTGTTTAGCCAAGGACAGATTTATTGTGGTGGAATTATTTGCCAAAATTACATGTTATTTGTTTTATTTCATGTCGGAAAATTTTGATGGTGGGCTCTATGAACTCCCACCCTTGGATTGATGATGGATATAATGCTAGTTTAGAGTTTAAATAGGCACATTAATGATATCTAGCTAGTCTAGACTTCAAGGGATACATAGTTCAAAAATGTTCAGTTTTGCCCTGTTTTAATCGCACCCCTTTTTGCAGAATTTGGAGGGGTTCATGACTCGTATATTATGTTTATATGTTTAATATGTGGTGTACAAAGTTTCATTGAAAAATATTGAGATTTGGTTGGTCAAATAAAATGATTTCGCAAAGCTAGTAAATCTGGAACTGTTTTCGTAATACTCTGACCAGCTTTCGTATTTTGGCTATAAATCTGTGCTCCGATGTCGAAATTAAGTGCCGTCAGCGGCATTTGAAACTAGACATCGCAGCCTTTCTGACAGTATAAAATGCACATTCTGGTTCCATGTGTGTGAGCCAAACCAACCATTTTAAGTCGGCTGTCCTGTTTCTCTGTTTTACAAGAACAAAATGATGAGGCTGCAACTTGTGGCTCGAATTCGAGCTAGTTGTGTGCCGAATTTCAAAGTGATTTCTTCTGTGAAATTATAGCTCTATGAATGTGTTTTCCAACACCATAAACCATGCCAAATTCCTAGTTAATTTGAGTGATCTATGATCAAAATAGGAAACCTGCTCTGTCCTTGAAAACCCTGATTTTTAGACAGATTTGATGCAAGGCTCGGTGTAGACTTGCAAATTAAATCTCTTGGTGTTAATCACCACAAATGTTGTTCCGGGATGACCCGTAAACCTTTTCTATGCAAATGAACCATGTTTAGAGGATTTTCCTTGGTCAAAAGTTTAGAAAAGGAAATTTTCACATACAAGGCAGCTTTGCCTTAAAATTTTGGAAACTTGAGTGATTTTGTTAAGTGACTTCCTGTGCATATTTTTCTATGAAATTTGGTAGAGGGACAACCCTTATATGATAGTATTACTCTTCTAATTTTGGTGTTATTCTGAGGCCGTTTCATGGGTCAAATAAATTACCAAAGTTCATGACTCGAGTTTGAAAAACCCATGTTTCACAAGGGAATTTTAGTAACTTTGAGCTACCGTATCATGGTGTTCAAAACCCCGTTTCTCGTTCCGTTTGTTTTGTTATACTCTTGGATTACAACACTAATAGATTTAAAAATTTCAAAAGCTAGTTCCAAACAAGTGAATTTTGCCGAAATTCCAAAGTTGGCCAAAAACCAACTTAAATCTGCCTTATGAACCAGAACAGTAACTTTGAGCCCATTTTTGACTATCTTCCATTTAGAATCATGGAAAAGTGTATTCTAGGAACTTTTAGTACTTTCAAAGAGGTTTCCAATAGTACCAAGTTTTCCAATTTTGGGCTTGTAGAGAGTAAGATATGATTTTTCAAAAATTACTTGTTAAATCTGGAATTTTCTAACTTAAAGGAAACTAAGGGGTTTCGAACTCTTCATTTCTGTCAATATCATTTGATTGCTTTACATTTGAATACAGAGATGGAAATCAGATTTGTCTTGTGTTTTAAAACCCCATTTTTGAACCTCGAGTTACACGAATTCTTAGGCTCGTCTCCGCGTCAAATTCTTAGATTGCACTAGCGTATAATCTTCATCGAAAACTAGAGAATTCGTAGCGATATTGAGTGGTACTTGAATTATTGTTTGCTCAGGCAATCGAGGAGATCTCCAAGAGGAACTCGGAGCGGACGCCTAAAACGCTTGTTTGAGACCTATTGCGCTTGTTTGACTAGGAGAGTGTTCCATATAGGAATACGTAATGGAATAAGTCTAGGACATGCTCATTTCATGATTTCTAAGTGTTAAGTACTATGTGTTAAATATTTACCATACACATGCTTGAAAATGCCCGAATAACATGACTTGGTATGCTATGGTTGCATACGTCGTTGGAGTGAATCTCCTCGACTCTCACATGGTAAAAATGGGATAACGGCCAATGATGGCCTATTAATATGGCAAATGCCTGCCAAATAACCGTCATTACTCAACTGTTAACCGTCAACCGTTAACCGTTAACCGTGAACCGTTAACCGTGAACCGTTTACCAATCCACATGACTACCTGATTACTTGACTATTTGCTCACATGATTTCTAATCTATATGATTATTTGATATCCGTAAATTACATGCTCCCATGAAATCAACTTGTATTGCTTACGTGCTTACGTGCTAAGTATCCACTTGATTACTTGATTATCATGAATCACATGTTATATGAAGTTGTCCATCATTGTTAGGCGAGTGTGTACTTTACCTCACTCAACCTATTCAAACGATGAATTTTACTTTTTGTCGAATTACTTGGTTACCTGTGCATGTTGTAAGCTATAAGCTGAACTTGGGCCCTGCCTCGGTTACTGACCTACTCGAGCCAGGACTGGGCTCGGTCGGGTAGGTTGGAACCCTGGACAACCGTTTCGGTATACTCGAGTACTACCACTGGAGGGATAAGGTGATGGCCAGTCAATCGAAGGAGTTACTGATCGGAGTTATAAGAATGGGAAGTGGACCGAGTACTGTATCCTTTTGTGCTTGCTTTGCTATTAATAATGTTATTGCTCTCCTAGTTGACATTTCTCGGGTAAGACTCCTCATGAGCATTAATCTCTGAGATGAAGCAATCCTTGTAATGTTCTTCTAGTCAGACGAGCCACTATTTGTTTGACTAAAAATTCATGAAAATATATTTATATGGTCATTCATTCCAAAATACGTTAGTGATTTTAGATAATTTATGAGTTGTACTCATAGTAAAGTTACCAGCAAAAGTACTACTACTACATGTGTTTTCAAAGTAGCAATTACCCGAGAAATGATTATCACCTCATGATAACCTGCCATTGTGTAACCTCGCACCATGCATATGACATGCACAACTTTCTTGATTTGTTTGAACTGTTAGAGTGTCTTGGAACCTCACTGGGTTGTGTAGCTCATTCCACGTTGTGATTTTCTTTTACAGGATTTGAGACCAAAGGTGCTCGGAAGTAGTACTAGATTGTTTACTTTTATGAATGTAATTCGAGTTAAACATTGTAGTTTTGCCTTAGGTTGCCACTTGAAGTTGGAAAAGTGTAAACCCTGGATTTGTATGTGGCTTGTATGAATTTGCTACTTGGCTTGTAAGGATGTATTTGAATTGATGTTTTGTTTCTTGGGTTGTATTCGGGAAGGTATTTTAAGAATCGACGTTAGCTATCTTAAGGCACTGTTATCTCTGAAGTTAATGTGATTCTAGAAACCGGCTTATTTGGAGGGAAACGATGTTGTAATAGATTAGGTTATACTTCAGAAGGATTTTTGCTAGCTTGCTTGCGTGAGTCCTGGCGAGAGCTAGGCAGACGGCCCGCCAACCCTCTGGTTCGCCTTAGGGGAAAGTGGGGTCGCCACAGTGAATTAGGTTGATTATAAAACTAATCAAATTATGGGCACTTTTTGCTCAATATGAAATTTACCCTCTTTTCTTAAGTGATCACACAATAAATCAATCAATGAAGGAACAATATCACTTGAGAGAAGTAGAAGATATAAACAATTTAAAGATCACACGATAACAATAAGTAACTAAGAAGGGGTTTTACGTAAGTCACTAAGTTGGGGGAATCTAGTGCCATTGAACTCACAAAACCCTAGGAACACGCCCTGGGTTTCGGCCATGGCTGCTACCGCGGCAGGCCACCAGCCTTCTGCTGACGGGCTAGCTTCCCCTCGCCAAAGATCTTTTGCAGACATCGTCTCTCAGCACCCCAGGTCAACCGCACCAGACCTCTCAAGATCCTTCGATCTCACACCTCAACAGCCATGGATAGTTTGTGACGCATCCATGCACAGAGGAAAACCTGTAGTTTTCTTCTCTGAGGATGATGTGGCCGCACTCTCCCAGCCCTTCCGTTACTCACTTGTAGGCAAGTTCTCCAAGGGCAGACCAAGCATGGAGGCTTTGCGCAAATCCTTCCAGACGCTGGGTTTCAAGGGCGCTTTCATGATGGGATTGGTTGACCATCGGCACATCCTTGTCCGTTTCGAATAGGAGGAAGACTACCTACGCTGCTGGTTGAAAGGAGTGTGGTCTCTTCCGAATCGCCGCTAGCCCCGGTGTGGGTTTCCTTGCCGCAATTTCCAGTTCATCTTTTCAACAAAGGTCCCCTCTTCTCCATCACACGGCTACTAGGTGAGCCGCTGAAGATCGATGCCTCAACTACCTCCCTCAACCGCCCAAGCGTAGCTCGATTTTGCGTCGAAGTAAACCTACAGCAGGCTTTGCCGGACAAGGTTTGGATAGGGAATGACGCATCAGGTTTTTGGCAACCAGTAGAATATGAGAACCTGCCGAGGTATTGCTCGGTGTGTCATAAACTTGGTCACCTCTCCACCTCCTGTCGAAGCTCAGCTATCAAGGGACAGAAGCCGACCATGGCCCTCATGACCGCTGCTCCTCTCATTATTGGTGAGGGACACATGGACAAGCCAAGCGCTGCAGCGGGGAACCAAGTTGCGGGTGAACTCCAAGTCCCTCCCCCCAAAACGTCTACTGGGCCATCTCAGCAGGCAATCACCAGGACAGCAGTGGCTCCCCAACTCCAGCCACAGAGCGAGCAGGCCATCCCTCTTGGCCCTGCCTCGCTGCACATACAGCGGCTGCTGGACACCAGCCCCCACGGCAGCCTGACTTCTCCACCGCTACCGCACATGGCGAAACCCCTCAAGCCCTCCTTTTATGACGACTACCGCCTGGGCAGACGCAACAAACTCTCCAAGAGGAGCTTGTCAATGCAACCATCTGGCTTCGACTGGGTCTCCAACACCGACGAACCCACAACTGTGGCTACTCCTATAGAGAATTTGCGTGCCTTCAAAGCTTACCTTGATATGAAACTTCCAGCCGCACCTCCCCCTGCAGATCCTTTGGTTTAGAGGTCCTCCTCGCTGGCCCAACCTGCATCGCGAGCAGGGACCAAACGTCTCTTGTGACAACCACGTACCATTTTGACTCGATAGGCGATCAAGGTCTCTCAAGCTCAGTAGCCTCCCTCTTTAAATGATTAAAGCGCTTATCTGGAATGCTCGGGGTGTCGCCAACACAGCGACTTAGGAGGCTGATTCGCTCCAACTCCGTTTCTTTCCTGATAATTCTCGAACATATGCTCGATTTCTCAGCTCTTACTGGTTTTGTTCAGAAACTTGGCTTCCACCTAGGCTTGTTCAATATATCAAATAAAATTTGGGTATGTTGGCGATCATCCTTTGCTGTCAACATGGTGCTAAATGATGATCAATTTCTCCACTTAGCGGTCACACATGAATCTTCACCACGGTTATTTTTTGCTCCTTTGTTTATGCCAAATGCACGCGGAGGGGACGGCAAGCGCTATGGGACTCCTTGGCTCGGCTTGATCAATCTATTGGGCACCGACCATGGCTGATTGGGGGGGACTTCAATGTTATATCCTCCTTTGGCGAATATTCGGGAGGCTCAACCCAGGATGCCCGCGCGATCGCAGATTTCAATGACTTCATCCACGGCTGCTCACTGAAACAGGCGCATGCGACTGGTAGCCCATTTACTTGGTCAGGTGTCCGCAATGGGCGGCGCATATGGAAGAGACTTGACCGTGCGCTCTACAATGATGCATGGGAGCAGCACTTCCCGGGTTTCTCTATCCATCACCTGAGCCGAGCAAGTTCCGATCACTCGTCTCTCCTGTGCTTCTTGGGGGCCCCTCAACGTCGGAGCCCCAAGTCTTTTAGGTTCCAACATATGTGGATTAAACACCTCACCTTTATGGAGACAGTAAGTCAAAACTGGAGCTTGCCCGTTGAGGGCTATGGGATGTATGCCGTAGCCAATAAATTGAAACGTTTGCGACAGTGTTTGCGTGAGTGGAATAAAACCATGTTTGGCAATATTTTTTATAAAATAGCTCAAGCCGAGGAGCTGGTTCGTCAAAAGGATATTCTCCTTGAGCAAGTCAACACGGACGAAGCCCGCGAGGAATGGAGCCGTGCCCATGCCGGCCTACTCCATACCCTAGCCATGGAGGAAGTTTACTGGAAGCAGAAAGCCTGAATAAAATGGTTGAAGAACGGCGAAGCGAACTCGCAATTTTTCCATGCCTCTCTGCGGGATAAGAGGAAAAGGCTTCGTATCACCCGCATCAAGGACTCGCACGGGGAGTGGGTCGATGACTTAAAGGCCATAGAGAGGGAAGGGGTGACTTTCTTCCATGCCTTGCTGACAGGTGACCCGCAATGTGCCGAGAGCAGTGCCGCCGCTCACCAGGTTCTTCAACATGTCCCTCAACGAGTCACCCCACAGCAAAACAAGGCCCTCCTTAAGGTGGTGTCCCTGGACAAGGTTAGAACTGTGGTCTTTGGGCTAGATGGGGACAGTGTCGCAGGAGCAGATGGATTCTCAGGGTGTTTCTTCAGTCATTGTTGGGAACTGGTCACCCGGGATGTCCTCAATGTAGTCCGAGAATTTTTCATTGGGGTGCCCATCCCCAAGGCTATTGCCAGCACGCTCATTGTGCTTATTCCAAAGAGGGAGGTGTGCTCTTCTTTTGCCGACTTTAGGCCAATAAGCCTGTACAATTTCGTCAACAAGATTTTCACCAAGGTGCTAAGCAACCGGTTGAAGCCACTATTGCCCTCGCTGGTCTCGCCGGAGCAATCAGCCTTTGTTCTGGGCCACGAAATATCTAATAACATGCTTCTCGCCCAAGAAATGGTGTGCTCCCTGGATAAAAAGTTGCTAGGGCACAACATTATCTTCAAGTTAGACATGATGAAGGCTTTTGACAGGGTCTTTTGGCCCTTTCTAGCCATGTTGATGCAAAGCTCGGCTTTTACTCCCATTTTGCAGCCCTTGTCATGCATAATTTGGTAGCTAGCTAGTTCTCACTACTGATCAATGGAAAGCCATGTGGCTTTTTCCAAGCCTCGAGGGGGATCAAACAGGGGGATCCACTCTCCCTTTTTTTGTTCATCATCGTGTCGGAAGCTCTAAGTATGGGCCTCAACTACTTGATCGCAACGGGCTTAATGGCTAGCTATGGAGTCCCCCGGGGTTGCCTAAGTGTCTCCCACTTATGTTTTGCCGATGATATTCTGATATTTACCAGAGCAGACAGGAGATCGGTCAGGAGTCTCATGGCCTTCTTGACCCTCTATGAGAAGGGCTCCGGCCAAAAGGTCAACCTAGCGAAAAGCTTCTTCATCCTCTCGGAGAAAAGTCTCCGGGGCTGTGCTAGATGCGTTTCTGCCATAACAGGCATGGCGAGGAGGTGCCTTCCGATTGGCTACTTGGGGTGTACACTTTTCAAGGGCCGACCCAAGGGGGCCTATTTCGAGCCTTTTATTACTAAGGTTTCCCAGCGCCTTGCCGGGTGGCTGGGTAAACTCTTAACAACAGGTGGGTGCCTTATACTAATTAAGCACGTTCTCTTAGCAATGCCGCTACACATGATGGCCGTAATGGACCCTCTTAAGTCGACCCTGAAAACACTGGAGAAATTGATGTCTCACTTCTTCTGGAGCAGCTCGGATGGCTCACATAGGCGACACTGGCTCTCATGGGATAAACTTTGCGGCCCAAAACAGGAAAACGGCCTTGGGCTACGACAGCTAGATGATGTATGCATGGCTTTCGGTTGCAAGCTTTGGTGGAAGTTTCGATCCCGTGCGACTCTCTAGTCAGATTTCTTGTCCTCCAAGTATGTCAAACATTGTGACCATGCATCCATCCCGACTTTGCGATAGACAGACTCACGGATTTGGCGAAGAATGCTCAGGGCACGGGACGTGGTAGAAAGTAATTCCCTCATTTTGGTCCGGGATGGCTCGTCGTCACTTTGGTACGACAATTGGCTCAGCGATGGCCCTTTGGCGGCAAACTCAACAACCATACCCTCCCCCCAGGCTTGCATCTACGATTTTACTGATAATAGGACCTGGAACTTCACAACTCTTGAGCCGTACACATCCCCTGCACAACGGGCTAAGATTTGGCAGCTCTCACTGCACCCTGACTTGAAGGACAAGCTTGTTTGGACTCCGGTAGCCTCCGGTCGTTTCTCCCTCTTGTCCGCCTACGACCTTGTTCAACGTAGGAGACCGCGAATGGTCTCCCAACTTTGTATTTGGAACCCGCGCATTCCCCTGCGTATTTCAATTCTCATGTGGAGTC